TTCTCCGTGTCAAAGTGGATATTTAATCAGTTTAATAAAATAAATTAAATGATTAATGCATATATAGTTGCAATTTTTTCTTTTAGGTTCTCCGAATTTTTCTCCTTTAAAATCTGTTTTGAGATCTCTAAGAAACAAACTGTACGATACTAATAGGCAAACTGTACTTAAAAGAAACTTGGACATAAAATGAGTCACTGAATATATTAACAAATATCTCTGTTACTCGTCTAACATACTAATTAAACATTAGTTATCATAAAAATTTAAGCACAGGTCGTGATGATAGGTTCTTGAATATGTCCGATAACAAGGATATAATTTATATCGATGAAATTGGCATTAATGTTGAAATATAACTACGCTAATAGTAATTTTTATAACAAAACTTTTTTTCCAAGTACCAATTTGATTGTAGTAATTACTTTCTTTTTACTTTCATTGGTTAGATCGTCTGTCTTCTTTAGTTATGCGAACATTGTGATGATAATAACGATTATTCCAAAGATGTACTAATTTGTTCATTTTATATGTCGTTAGGTGAAAACTACATTTGTAATAATACGTTCTACAATGTTTATTTCGATTTACAGTATAAGAGGGATTTTAAAATACGATGTATATAATTTCATTAACTTTTTCTACCTTTTCCTCTGCGTAGTTGTTCGATTTGATAGTAAGCTGCTCATGTAATAATGAAAAAAAATATTTCTGAAGGTTAGTTTTATACGGAATTTCAAGGTTGTCAGTGTTTATTTAAACAATATTTTTTATCTCATTGCTTTGTATCTAACGTCAAGACGAATTCGTCCGCTTTGTATATTATAACCTTGAAATGACCTTAGACTAAAAAATGCTGATTCTACCAATGGAAGCATCAGTATGTGAAATTTATTTGAATTAGAGTAAACATTCAAAGTAGTGGCAATAACGTAGGCATTTAGCATTCTATAAAGCTTCGAACTATTTTGTTGATACAATAAGCTACATAATATCTGATTATTTTTTCTTTCATGTTCTTTGAAATGATTGATTTTGTGCGCTAAACATCATCTCAGTTTTTATTAACTAACCAGGGTATTGATTCGTTACATTCAATCCACTGGTTTGAGTATTTATGGTTAGAAATTCTGTTGCTGCGTGTAAAGAATTTTCGAAACAGCGGTCACGCTGATATCACATTTGACAAACGAATTTCCTACAAAAACGTAACGTATATCGTTCCGTTCCATGTAATGAAAATTTAGAAACAAAAATTTATTCAAATACAATTATCATAATATGACGAAGAATTTCGCACTCAACGTTGACACTCCAGAGTCTCTGCTTGTCTCCTTGCCATCACTACTGGCAACTGTCTTCACTAATGTACATTTCTTTGATTTATATCATATTATATAGGATATTTGAGGTTTTTATAAACAAAGCTCGAGGACATGTACAGAAAATTAAAATGATAAAATTGACGTCTCTGAGTTAGTAGAGGTATAAGAAAATATATTATAGGATCATTATTCAGAAATATGGAAATTAGAATTTGCAGTGATTTCTTTCCTATAGGATAAATTTATTGATAGATGGATTTATTTATAGTAGATTAAACATGAAACGATGGTTATTTAACGTAAACATAATATAGTAATGTGATATAACTATGACAACTTTCTCTCGACTCAACTCTCTCAACTCAACTCTCGACACGCAACTAGACTCTCAATTAACGACTTCCCATAAATCCGTCTTTCTCCCTTAAGCATCCCATTGCTGTCTTCTCATACCCTCACCACGTACGTCTTCTACCGCGTAATTATTTGACTAAAGGACCGACGACACGTTCGTGGGCTGCTTGACCCATTGAAATGTCCCGATCCTTTCGGCCTGTCGGCACTTCGGTTTTCTCGCAACATTGTTTATAGTTCACCCGATATTTCTTAGACGATCTTTGCACGATACTGCAATATGTATATGTGATTATTTAGGGGCAACATTTTTATACAAAAACTGTGTTCTGTTGCGCGCGTCCGTATCCATTTACCGATACACTACACTTGTTAATCGCTAGATTAATAGTGATTGAGAAAGTGGACTAGTCTCGAATCGATTAACTAACCGCAAAAGGCGTACGAAATATACAGCTAAAACGATGTCGTGAAGCTTCCAAAAGGACTGGACCGTTGGAACGAAACTACAGAAGCACGAAAAAAACGATTCATAAATCTGACACAAGTGTCCAAGCATCAAACGGCTTTGATCTTTTCTGTGCGAGGGTTGAAACGATCGTGGATTCCCTTCAAATGATAAGAAACGTGAGTGTCTCAGAAACTCGAGCGATTCTGACTAACTTCTTCGTGCGAAAACTAGAGCGATCCAGCCTCGTTAACGGTTGATGCTAATTCCAACAATTAGAAAAGGAATCAAATGGTACAGAAAACTTGGCATTTCATTCTTTCTGGGAATTTCTGTTGTAAATGCTTTGACGGTTTACAAAATTGCAACAAGAAAAAATATAAATATTGGAATATTTAGAATTATTAGTTGCCAAATTATTAGGGTTGTCTGAAAATGCAAAAAATCCTTGTCTTCGACGGAGTCAGTATAATATCGCCGTTCGGAAAAATGATTCCGGAAGAAGCATTAGACGCGCATGCAAACTATGTTATGCAAATAAAAGATGTCGAATGGACCGAACAAAGGCACGAAAGGATTTGAAGAAAACAACTTATTGTCCAAATTGTCCCGACCAACCTCAGCTATGTATAGAATGCTTTAAAGTTTTACATTCTAAATAATTTTTTTAATAAACCATTTTCGTATTTTTATTTTATAACAATTCAACAGTTTTATTATTATGGAATATCTTTTCAAATACCTACGATGATTCTTAGCAAGTAGTCAAATAAGCGACACCCGAATATAGGTTACGCGGCCTGACCAGAAACTTTGCTGACACCCGAATACGGGTGTCCTGGCGGTCAACGTGTTAAGGACATAACTTGCTCTACGCCTCTTATGCGCCGCCTCTTTCGGACCCTCCTTAGGGGTGGCTTGTCTCCGGCAGTCCGGGTCCTTACCCGAACTATGTCCTAGATCATAGCAGGCCGTAGCTATCGGAGGGAGCAGATTACTCTCAGGAGTAGTCAGCTATGGTCGGCGAACACCTGCGGTCACCTGCGATCGGGCCGGATCCCGATCTCGCTCCGGGGCATCCCTTTCCTAAAAAAGAGCATTACTTGCTCGCAGAAAGAGACCATTGTATTTCACGGCCTCTCGCTCTGCAGCATCGCGGCTTGCAGCTTGGCAGCTAACACCTGTGCAGAGGAGCATGGCGCCCTGACACCGTGCAGCCCCGCATAGTGGTCACGATTGCGATTGTAGTGATCAAGATACATACAAGTTTAGTTTTTACTCTTATTTGTACCTAAAGTCATTGAATCGAAGAAGTTGGACCATGTAATATTATGTCATCAACGGATACTTACTCATACATAATACAGATATTATTCAAACATACATTTGCGTCTTTTTTTTGTAGTAGCCTTTTTGTAGTAGCTTTTTGCTGTAGAAACAGAAAAATGAAGAGGCTTTAATATGGAACATTTTTTATCCAGACTCTGTCTTAAAAAGATATTTCATAAAATAAAAATATATTTCAGTTTTGCTATTCCTTGAATACTACAGACTTTAAATGCACTCGTAAAAGGAAATCGACGAATCAGGAGATGTCGACAGTCATTCAACGAAGACCAAAACATATAAAGAACTTAAAACAAAGAATATTAAATGATTAGAGAAGCATTATGTTAGAATTGGAAGATAAGCTTTACATCGATACACGCAACGATGAGCTTATGCGGTTAGTTAGGCAGTACGAAAGGTATGAATAAAAAGAAAGAAAAAGGAACAGCGAAGAATACATAGACACTGCACTATATTATACCAGGCTATATGTGTAGATTATTATGCAGCTATAGTCGAGAGATAGGCGGCGAGCAAGTTCACACCATCAAATCAAATCAATCGAAGAAAAGTCGAGAGACATGTTAAATCAAGATAACAAGATAGCACGGTACAATCTATGCATTTACGCACAGACGTCGGTGGAATATTTGAATTGCCAACGTATTATAAAAGAAACCTTGAGAAAAGTAAGAATCGAATTTGGAAACAGATCGTATTATTGTCTAGTGCAAAATTTTGAAAACATCCTATGAAGATTGTACAAAAGTATTGTAATTCTTTGCGTAATATAATAGAAGTGCAAAAAGTGTAATTGTTATTGATTTTACCTTATCGTCTAATAATGAAACATTAAAGGAGTTTCGTTTTTCATATTACTTAATTTTTTATCCTCTATTTTGAGAGCAATAAAACTGAAGAACATTTTTAAAACGAAGTCTGATAAAAAAATATTCCACATAAAAGTCTTTTCTTCTTTCCCGTGGAATAAGAATCTGTAAAGAAAAAATATGATTTCCATTTAGAAAACGAAAATCTTGAAGACACCTGACAAATAGCAAATAAATAGAATAGTTGTATCCCCCCTCCGAAACTGTGAAAGTTTTCAAATAAATACTCCGTATAAACTAATAAGAAGGCGGTCCTAAAAAAATACTATAATAAACTTTAATAATATATATAATATTGCATTGTCTTGGTTGAATCATTTTAGGAAACTTGTTATCGCCAAATTTCAGATGTTTATGCGTTTATTAAAAATTGAAAGATGCAAAAGTGTATAGAATTCACATAATCTGTAAATTAATAACATAATAAATATATAAAATATCCAAAGTGATAATATCTAGTGACTAGCGAGTGAAACAAGCCTCTATTGAGGTTGCATTTGTTTGGACGTATTTGTAAAAATAAGAATTTGCAATTTAGGTTACACTACATACAATTGCATTTAGATAATAAAATATATCCAAGTGATATTTCTTCTTCGTATTCCCGTCGCTCTTATATATGTGGGTATAATTACAAAACTATTTTTGTTTCAGTTCCACCTGTTATAAAAGTAACAAATCAACTAGTAGCAGCACCGGTCGAGAGTGACGTTGTTCTTCAATGCCAGGTAGAAGCTTCGCCACAAGCGTTAAATACTTGGCACCAAAATACTGGTAATGAACATTTATCACAATTAAATATTTCAAATATATAAACAGCTTTTGATATTAATGATCGCCGACGAATTATTATTTGCAAAAAGACATATTGATCTTACTTATCCATTTCGATAGCTATTGTGCAATGCGTGCTTGTATACGTATAATATGTACCTCGTTTCAATATTGAAAGTACTTGGAGAACGATTTATTTCAAACTAAATCGATTCTTTTCTTGTAATGTAATATCAGAGACTAAAGAGAAATCTAAAAGATTATCTTATACCCAATTTTCTAACGAAAATGTTTTTGGACATTGAAAAAAGGTATTTGAAATTCATTTTGTGACTTATCAATTTATGACGATTTACTTGAAATTTGATACTGGAATCAACTACCTACGAATGTACTAAATTTTACGCTATCAACTTTTTAATCAATTTTATGAATAATACATCTATCGACCGCATCACCATGATCATTTTGGTTTTTTAAGTAAATCAGTTACGACGCGATAGCAATTTCTAAACAAAACTCATAAAAATTTAATATATAAGTAGTACGATAAAAAGTAAAAATAAAGGTTAAATTAAATTAAATTAAAAAGAATTAAAAGAATATAATACTTTTTCAAAATTATAAGTATTAGGTTGTCCGAAAAGTGTCTTTCTTTTACAGACATGTCTTTTACAACGACGCATCTTTATATATACAAACATGAAACCTAATCTGTCGAATGTTGTGATCTTTATTTTGATAGAACAAAATGAATCATACGTAATTCGATAAAATAATATAAAACGGAAAATGTTGTGCATCGTGACTTAATATAATATGTATAATAGTCAAAGCGTTGCAAAATAGAAATATATTATTCATCACCTACAGTTTTTGTAAATATCTAAAAGAAACAAAGTCAGGGCCATCTTTATTAAAACTTGCGCCTCAATACATACATGTAAAAAGATTCTGCAAAAAGTTTAAAAATTATAATTTGCGACCGCAAAGTGATTAACTGGATTGCGAATACACTTGTTTATTTTGAAATCTGTGCTTATCTGGAGGACACTACATATGCGCGTATTTCTTTGTATTCTCCTTTTTTTAACAGAAAAAGTTATTCATATACATATATCTTGTCACTGTTATCTAAATAAAACATTTTCAGAAATCTAAAAATGATATTGTTTGAGATTTAGTTGCGGATATATAACAATTTTGCAGACGACACATTTGCCAATTAACGACACATTGAAGATAGTCAAATTTCAGAAATGATTCTGATAAGTGAACGAGATTTTATTTGAACTATTTCGTCAACTTTGCAGGAGTGAGCGGCATTAAACAACTTATTTCCAAATAAATTACGCTCTAAAGGAGTTATAAAAAGTAGATCGCTTCTCACCCAGTCAAGTTGAACAACCCTCCGAGAAACAGATTATATTCAAATTTTTTGTCAACATGGATACTTCACTTCTTAAAATGATCTTCAAATTTACTGGACGAAAACCAGGCAAGAAGGAACCAAAAACTGATCGGAAACGGACAGAAGCGAGAAGAAAGCGACTTACTTCGTATAACTCTTTTTGAACGTAATTCATTTAAAAATGAGTCATTAAACAATAATTGTGAAAAATGAGTCTAATGTATTCGCTGTTTTCATCGAAGCCAAGAAGAGTCCGTACAATCTACTATATACTTTTCTCTTCGAAATCAACATTTCGATGAAACAGCACACATACATACATATGTATATCATAATGAGTAATTTACTATTAAAACCAGAATGTGTTTCTAACAAAACGTTTCTATTTTTTACAAAGTCAAAGAGATTTAATTTTAAATCAGTCAAACGACATTCATATGGAAAATCTTTTGCATTTTTTGTAGTTAAAGAACAAAGATCGTTTAAAGAAGAAATAATAGCGTGTACGTTAAAATCAAACATGTTGTAGAAAAACAAATTATTGCAAGCTGGGGATTCGTCTTATGCACGTAGCTTATCACTGCTGTCAACCGTCAGTTACAGCTCGAGAGCTTAACAAGTGGAGATGTTTTCGCTATTACAGCGAATTTATTTCGCACCATAAGGATACAAAGATAGAATACACGAGTCATATGTTGCTGCATAAATAGATACGATATGGGAATATGGGAATACAAAGAAGACGCTGTATAGCAGAATATTCTGTTCCTGTCTGGTTAAACATGCACACCGAATGTGCTTGCGTTATTAGACAAGGACACCTGCCTCTATGCAGGTCTCGTTCTATTCCTATATCGTTTTTTCAGCTCGCTCACGTGCTCTATCTTTACATCTCTATGATGCTGACATTTTGACGATTGAGTTGGATGTTGAATGTAATCACAGACAAGTTATTCGTAATATAAGCCCCATGTTCGATGTAGCAAGTCGCAGAGGGCATAAGAAACACTCTCATCTTTTTCCAGGTCGAGACACAAAGGATCCGGGACACAAAGTTCCATTTATTGTCACGTCCATCCTTATTAATCGATAGTTCCATGCTGTTGATCGGCTCGCCTG